TATTGTGGTTCAATGAACCATTACAGGAGAGTGTACAATTGGCTACATGTGTAACTTTTCTATATTACCTATTTAAAGAGTCTGCCCGAAGGTTTCCTACCAATTGCCGTACCTAACACCCCTGCTTGGGTGTTCATTATTATTTTTTAATAATTCGAAGAATGGTGTTATAAAGTCCAAGTATTTGATTCCTTGATCATTGATTAAAATCATTTTAAGTTCATTTTCTTCCACAAGAATTTTTGTTGAATTTAATTGATCATTACAATCATATTCATATTCCTTTTTTAGAAAGTAAGTCCACCATGCATAGACTTGTTTTTGTATTAGGTTTGAATTATGTTGTTCCAATTGTCTAAAGATATCTACAGGTGTACAATGAATATTTTTTTGGATTTCAACTTTATATTATCAGTTACATTAAATTGATCTGGATACTTATGAAATAAATTATGCTGAAGATCAACTGTTGCTATGTTTATTTCCATATCTAGTAATATCTTTAAAATACTATTATAATTAAACCGATCAGTATATTCTCTATCACATTGTTTGTTAGAATCATGTTTTCATGTACACTTAGCTAAAATACAACTCTGTGAACAGTTGTAATAATAGCTATATTTATTCTGATTTTTTTGAGATCTATAGACTTTGTTATAACTAAAATTAAATAATATCGATCTTATTAGTAAATATATAATACTAAATAAGTATTATCAAGAGAAAATTTGTAATTAATTTATATGTTATACTGTGTATAATTTATAAATCTAATTGCAAATTTTCTTTTGATAATACCCAACTATGTTATATATATTACTATTAGGACAAATTAGTAATCACATACAAATAATAATATCTGTCAACCAATTCTACTATTTCGGCAATTGCTTTTCCAAGTTTATGAGATTTACTTTTTAATGAAGTAGTTGATATTTCACACAAAAATTCTATACCCGAATTTTCATTTTCCATATGTTCATCATTTTCAATTTGAAGAATGTATTCAAATAATTGTTTTTTCATTTCTTTTGGCTCGATAGGATTTTGAACATTAGAACTTTGAACGATAGGATTTTGAATAATAGGATTTTAGACAATGGAGTTTTGATCACAAGGTATATTTTTATTAAACTTTGTGGTATAGTAATTTTTTAAATCTTTATTTCGACACTGACAACATATTTTTGTAGGCTTTCCAGTTTTACTAACAAAAGCTGTTTTTTCTAAACTTCTACCACATCGATCACACTTGCGCATGCTATTAGACATCATTTAATTTAGTAAAAATTTTTTTATGTTTTAGCAAACACCTTCATTATAAATATTAGTGATAAGTAAAGTGATCTAAATGTAACACAAAATTTAAAAATGAAACATACTACTTATGTACGTACATACATCTGATAAATTGTTAGTAAAATATTATTGGCTAGAATTGGACACAAATATCGTGATTAAGTATGCAAAATTCTATTGGTCGAAATATAGTACAAATCTTGTGTTACCGATAATTTTTGGTGGTGCTCTTGGGGTAGTTACGTTATCGGTCTTGTCACGTGACTTGCAGCGAGTCGTCAATAGCGAGTTAGTGGTTTATTAATGAACGAACGATATGGGCAATGGTGGGGTTAATGATGGTTTATTAGTTTATTAGAGCACTTATATTTTATTATGGATCGGATATTTGTTGGTACTGAAAGTTTATTTGTATAAGGGACGACTTGCCTTTTTTTCCCGGGGCGGAAATGCCCTTTATTTATAATAAACGTCTTATTTACATTCGCGATCAATTTATGCCATAAATGCCAGATATTCCTTATACTCCATATATTCACTAAATGTAATAAAAGGCCGATATGCCATTTAACGCATATATGGCCGAAGTAGCAGAAGTAACATAAGTACCATAAGTACCATAAGTGCCATAAGTACCATAAGTAACATTTCTGTTACTTTTCGCGTGACCTTGGATCGGGTAAGTATCGTCATCCCGATTCGGGTACCCGTGACCCCGAAAATCGGGCTCACACTATCGATTGAGTGTTAGTAAATTGATTGTCTGTAAAACAAACATGTCAATAAATTAATTGTCAATGAAATGTTGTGTCGGTGAGTTGATTAAGCCGCACCGATCAAATAGTTTGTTTAGGTCTTAATTTAGGCGAGATCAACTTGATTCTGTGTTTTATATTACCCCAGGCGTTTCCCCTCCCCATCATAGTAAAAAAATTAGATAAATATACATAGGCTACGGGCTATTTCGAAAATTTTCTATATAGTCATGGAACAATCGGAAATTTTTTTTAAAACTTTTACTATATAAACCACAAATTCCATCCTATTCTGGAGGGGAGAGGAGGGTAATGTAAAATACAGAATCAAGTTGGTCTCGCCTTATATTGCAGCTTTAGCTTGCAAAATAATGAAGTACCAGTTTTAATATTAAAATATGTGCCTGTTCATATTTTTTGCAAAAAGAAAATCTTAGATAAAACTTTTAATATTTGTATAAATTAATGACGTAACAGTAATGAATGCATAATTTCTTTAGCGTCATAGTTCGATCATATTAAAATTCAGATCTAATTATCCAGACGATCATCCGGACCCAACCTGGTACACATTTTATGGGAGCACCTTTGGAAAATACATTCTCAGCTAGCCTTTCTTTTCTCTTCTGGAATTCTTTTGCTTAGTACAATATTAAAGCTTAAAAAATGACTTTTACGTTATTAATAAAACGTTATATTCCTAAAAGTACTTAAAATATATAAATAAGTCACCCTTGCCAATTGGTTTACAATAGTTAATCGATCAACCTTTTATGACATTCACAGTAAGTAGGCTTATCCCTTAATCTCTGCAGTTGATGCATTGCAGTTAATGGCTGTATTGCATCGTCACACATTAAATTACTGATAAAATCGATTCTCGTGGGGTACTATGTAATCTCATTAACAGTTAAGGGGCAGTCAATTTAATATCTTGCTTACTTAAGTTACACTAATACTAATGTTTCCTCGATACATTAAACCAATCTGTGCAGCAACTAATACTGAAAAATATACATTTAATTAAATATCAGATTGCCAAAAAAGAAGTTTGTAATTAGGTTGTTAGTGGGTAATATATGCAACTAATTTGCGTTAAGAGAGTTCATTATCATATATTATAATAATAGTAGTCACACAACATTTAACTATATGCATTTAGGAAACTATAAAATGCTAATATGCTCGCTTTTTTTTATCTACGTTCTACTCAGCCTTTCCTCTTGACTTAAAAAAAAATCATCCTCAAAATGGCAAACTTTGATTTAGTCTTTATTATTGCTTTAGCTTTTATTACAACTGTTATCAACCCAGCCCTTACCATGCCTACTAGTCATCTGGATAATCGTCAAGATCATCTTCAATGTATAGTTCCATGATATTATTAAGTAAAATTTTAATTATATAGATAAATATTAAATTATTAATAATTTGTAATCGATTAAAATTTCTTCAATCAACTATAAATAATTAAATTAATAGCTCGTAAGTATAAAATTATTTTACAATTTTGAAATAACAAATTTGAAATACTGTATAATGAGTCGATCGTATTTAATCATCTAATCAATTATAACTAATTAACTTATTAGAGGGTAAAGTATAAAATTTTGAAATCATATATAATTAAATATATTTTATCTAATCGATTACAAATAAATTATTAGTTATCAGTAAGTATGAAATTATTTTACAAATTTGAAATACTATATGATGAGTCGATCGTATTTAATCATCTAATCAATTATAACTAATCAATTATAACTAATTAACTTATTAGAGGGTAAAGTATAAAATTTTGAAATCATATATAATTAAGCCAATCTTATTAATATATAATAAAATTAATTTATCTAATCGATTATAAATAATTAAATTATTAGATAGTAAGTATAAATTATTTGGCATATTTGAAATAATAAATTCGAAATAACAAATATGAAATAATATATAATTAACTAAATTTTACCTAATAAATCAATTATAAATAATTGAATCATTCATCTAATCAATTATAAATAACTATTAGAAAGTAAGTATAAAATTACTTTACAAATTTGAAATAATATATAATCAAGTCAACTTATTAATACATAATAAATAAATTTTATCTAATCAATTATAAATAATTAAATTATTAGACTGTAAGTATAAAATTATTTTATAAATTTGAAATAGCAAATTTAAAATAACATATTATTATGTCAATCTTGTTTAATTAGTCCGTAAGTATAAAATTATTTTACAAATTTGAAATAGCTAATTTAAAATAACAAATAATTAAATAATTTATCTAATTAATCAATTATAAATTATTAGTCCGTAAGTACAGTATAAAATTAGTTGACAAATTTGAAATATCACATAATTAAGTCGATTGCATTTAATCATCCAATCAATTACAACTAATTAAATTATTAGAAAGTAAAGTATAAAATTTTGATATATAATTAAGCCAATTTTATTAATATATAATCAAATAAATTTTATCTAATCGATTATAAATAACTAAATTATTAGAAAGTAAGTATAAATTATTTGGCAAGTTGGAAATAATAAATTCGAAATAACAAATTTGAAATAATATATATTAACTAAATTTTACCTAATCAATCAATTATAAATAATTAAATCATTAGAGCGTAAGTATAAATTATTTTACACTTTGAAATAATATAATACATAAATTTTATCTAAATAATTAAATTATTAGTCGGTAAGTATAAATTTATTTTACAAATTTAAAATAACATAATTAGATCAACTTTATTTAATCATCTAATCAATTACAAATTACTACTAGATTGTAAGTATAAAATTACTTTACAAATTTGAAATAATGTATAATTAAGTCAACTTATTAAAACATAATAAATAAATTTTTATCTAATCAATTATGAATAATTAAATTGTTAGGCTGTAAGTATAAAATTATTTTATACCTTTGAAATAGCAAATTTAAAAAATATATAATTATGTCAATCTTGTTTAATTAGTCCGTAAGTATAAAATTAATTTACAAATTTGAAATAGCTAATTTAAAATAACATATAATTAAATAATTTTATCTAATTAATCAATTATAATTTTATTAGAGGGTAATGTATAAAATTATTCGACAAATTTGAAATATCATATAATTTATTAATCTTATTTAATTATCTAATCAATTATAAATAATTAATTTGTTAGGTTGTGAGTATAAATTTAATTTACAAAATTTGAAATAATATATAATTAAGTCAATCTTTATTAATATTATTAATATATAATAATTAAATTATTAGGCGGTGGTAAGTATTACAATTTTTTTTACAAATTGAAAAAACAATTTAATATAATATACAATTAAGCTGATCTTATTTAATCATCCAATCAATTATGACTAATTAAATTATTAGAAGGTATATATAAAATTATTTTGCAAATTCGAAATAATTATGTTGATCTTATTTAATCATCTAATCAATTATGACTAATTAAATAATTAGAGGGTAATGTATAAAATTATTTTACAAATTTGAAATAACAAATATAATATAATATATAATTAAATAAATTTTCCTAATCAATCATAAATAATTAAATTATTAGACCGTAAGTTAAAATTATTTTACAACTTTGAAAGTATAAATGAATTTTATTTAATCGATTATAAATAATTAAATTATTAGGTGGCAAGTATAAAATTATTTTATGAGGTTGAAATAGCAAATTTGGTATAAATGAATTTTATTTAATCGATTATAAATAATTAAATTATTAGGTGGCAAGTATAAAATTATTTTACAAATTCGAAATAATATATAATTAAATAAAATTTCTAATCAATCATAAATAATTAAATTATTAGACTGTAAGTTTAAAATTATTTTACAAATTTGAAATAATATATAATTAAAAATCAATTATAAATTAAATTATTAGTCTGTAAGTATAAAATCATTTTACAAATTCGAAATTATATATAAT